AGGATCCCCTGTACCACATGTAGAGCATGGAGTAGACTTTAACTCAATTCAGATAATATTCCTATTCATGTATAGTCTGGTACAAGGTTTCTTACTAGTTTATCCATGTCTCAGGGCTGCTGGTGTCACCAGGACAAGGAAGCGTGTTATGCAGCAGATTAGTGATGAAGATAAGTTTACTAATCTCCCTGAAGGTGTAATACCAGAATTCGTTGGCTCTATGAAGAGGAGGAAGTTTAGCTTCAGGTTCCGTATAATGTGTGCCAGTATAACTTTTAACTTGAACATTGCTTATTTGTCTATTGCCTTTGGTTTTGTTGGTATTGTAGTTAGTTTGTTAACTAGTGTCACTGGCTGAGAACAATATCATTAGTATAAAAACTGCTTATTAATTTGCTTTGCCCCTATACTACTTTGGATTTAGCGAGTTGTTGATATTATTTTAGTTTTATTTTGCTGCTGTAGTCATTAGTTTTGTTCATAATAACATTAAAAAACAAACTTTCAGACAAAAATCAACACAACTCACTTTCAGTTTCAAGTTATTTCAGGGTTAGCATAGAACTGTTGTAGAGATAGACCTGGGCTCTAACTCCATGATTGTTGCAACAGTGTTGTAAGGCTGTTGTCACTATCACAAGCCACGTTTTTACACGTGGGCAAGTAAGCAGTTATTTTGTTAATAGTTAACTAACTAATCATTATCTCTCATCAACCACACCTACTTTTCCTTTCAGCAAATAAAAATGAGTTTAATGAGAAGAATATTAACAAACACAAACTACAGACTAATAAACAAGGTATGTAATGTATCTACTATTTATTATTATTATTATTGTGGTTATTATTGTTATTATTATTGCTAGTATCAGATATCATTATTCAGTAGCAGTGGTGATTCCACTGATGGTGAGAGAAGGATCACCTCACTATTACACGATAAATTAAACCCAACCTACCTGCAAGTTAACGATATTTCAGGTGAGTAGGTTACCATGGTTATGGTGTGCATATGTTGCCATGGTTACCATTCTTAGGTGGGTGTGGCTCAATGTATCGTATTATTATTGACGGAGAGATCTTTAAAGGAAAGAAAACTATTGAACAACACAAGATTGTGAATGAAGTAATAATAATTATAATTGTCAATTAAAATTAATATTATTTTTATAATTTCCAGGCGTTAGGTGATGAGATTAAAGGTCTTCATGGTCTAACTATTCAAATTAATAATCCCACTAATTAATTAACAACCATTTCATTCACATAATGCATTATGTAAAATAATAATAATAATTATTATTAATTAATCATCTTCTTCATCATCAAAGGATAATAAATTAGTATTCTTAACAGTTGTTGTTCTTTCGTCTTGTTGTTGTTTATGTTTCTTATTATTATTAGCAGCAGTATTGTTTGTTCTTTTATTTTTTGTTGTTGCTGTTATTCCACCGCCAGCAGCAGTTGCTTCAGAGCTGGTTCTTTTAGTTGGTCTTTTAAACATTATCCTACCACCAGCACTGCCAGCACTGCCATCAGTATCACCTGATCCTGTCTCCTCTTCTACTCTATCATCTCTTCTCTCTCCTCCTTTGTCTGTCCTTCTCTCTCCATCTTGAGCAGTCATCATCTTCTCTTTCTCTACACAATAGAATGTATTCAATGAACACGTTGCTTAGCTACAGTGTAGGATTATAATAAAAACTACATGTAGCAATGGTTGAAAAGGGAGAAATATTCCAGCTATTCTGGACCGAGTTCCTTGTACAACTGCTCCATAATATAACACAGTACAACCATTTTATTGAAGACATACATGTACAGTAAATTCAAGATTAGACAATTTCCTCTTCTCTATAAGAAGCCTTGGCTACATGTACATTAATTATCGTAGGCCTGTACTGTTCATTCAAGTTAATATTAACTCATCCAGACTACCTTTCTCCTTCTCTGTCAGGTATTGCTGATACTCCTCTTCAGTGACCCCACTCCCTTTAACAACCACTGGTTCCTCATCGTCACGGTAACGCTCCGCCCCTCCAGTGGTATCAACCTGCTTCTCTTTCTTAGTCTCAACAGTGACTTCCTTATCTTTGTAACCAACCCTGGGATAAACAACAACAACAAACAACAACAATACTAATAATATAATAATAATAATAATAATCATATTCTTGGTTTTAGTTCTCAATTTAAAATATTATATATCATTTTCTTGTTCATACTTTTCCTTAAAGGCTCTCAGAAAGGATGGTTCTTGTGGTTTGGTGTAAGATACATTTCTACCTGGAGCAGACATTTATGGGCGGGGCTTGTAACTATTGAGCCACACCCTAATTCTGATTCAAGCAAATTTTAAAATTAAAATTCTTATTTCTAAAAAATTTGCTTTTGCAAGTAAAATTTATAAAGCACATCATGAATATTAATTAGTAAAAATTATAGATCTAATTAATTAGTTAGTCCCCGCCCCCTTCAGTACTAGTATCAGAGTCTTCTTCACTCTCCTCCTCATCATAAACTGGTTCCAGTATATCAGCAACGTTAGTGAAAGGATCACCAGCCTCTCTTAGCTGCTGGAAAGTGTATAGTTCAAAAGAAACCTGACTAATATCACTGAGACTGCCTCCATCATTAATCTCAATCCCTTCATCAGAGTATTCTCTCAATGAGTCAATGTCCTGTACTGTATTGTTGGCATTGTTCACTTTATCTTCAATGAACCGATCTATATCAGGAGTACTGGCCCGCTCTGGTTGGTTAACTATCAGTGGTAGGATCCCTTTAGTCCTTAGTTCAGAGGTAACCCTATCACTGACACTGGTAGTGGGTTTAGCTAGTGGTAGAGGGGGAGTATCCACGGCTATTGGTTGCTCCTTTGTTCCCTCCTCTTTTATTGGTAGATGAGGTGACGGCATTATTGTAACGGGCGGAGTCTCCTGTACTGGATGGAGTAAGTGATGTACGGGCGGGGTGCTGTGGGCGGAGTCACCACGTCCTTTTAAGGAAGGTGTCCCTCGTACAGGAGGGGTCGTTCCTGTGGGCGGAGTCTCGGAGTGGGGCGGGACCGGAGGTGGATTATTCTCTCTCATTTTCTTTAGTGAGGACGGAGTGAATTGTTTCCTGCTCCGTGGTATATCATAGTCCCTATTCCTCTCCAGGGTAGACATTGACGGTGAGTATCGGCCCTCGTTAACAATCGGACTGTGATCCATCGTGTTGTCATGGTTACCATTATTAACACTGGTATCTTGTTCTCCTCCCTCCTCATCATAAGCATAGAGGTTAGCGTGTATCTCAATATGTTCGTTGCTCCGCCCGACCCCGCCCCTTCCAAGGACTGTATCACTCAGTGAATATTTCTTCTTCCTTTTACCATATTTGGATATTATGAGCAGTCCTATCACCAGTACTGCAATGAGGACGCTAATGAATATTAATATCGCCACGGCGACCGCTATTCCTATTATGGTATTGTTGGAGTTGGGCGTGTCACAGGGAGAGGTCTGGCTCCGCCCATTACATGTACACAGGAACGTGTTATGAGTCGTCTCTGTACATGTACCTGTATTACATGGATTAGGGTAACATGGCCCAACCCTACAACCTGATTCAGGAGTATCGCCAATATATGTCACTGATGCGTATTGGTTGCTATCGGCAACTGGTAGAGGGGTGTGGTCAAGACGCACGTCCTGGATACAACCTGTGTAACCATCGGTTACCGTTTGGTTGCTAAGGAGGTTCCCGCTGAAGTAAATCTGATTGGACGAGTACTCTAGAGTGATTTCAGGTCCAGAGTGTGTTAAGTTGATTCTGGTATCATCGATATTGATTTGAGATATCAGTCCGACTCGTGATATGTTGATGTGATGCCAGCGACCATCATGATGAGTGGAGGCAGTAGTGAAGGTATCAGTTACTGATCCCAGATTAATGGAGTGATGTAACCTACCGTCCTGTAACTAAAAATAGAATAAAAGAAATAGTAAAAATTTTGCCAAAAATAAAAAGGTGAGAATTCTTCATTTTTATTACATTTCCTGATACATATACATGTTCTTATGCTGCATATAACATTATTATCATTATTATTATTATTATTATCATTATTATCATTATTATTATTATTATTATTATACTTATACTTACTTTGATCATCAGGTGTTCCCCAGTGATTCTTCCTATTATAAACAGTACTCCATTATTCTCTTCAGTCCTGAACCAGAGTGACACACTCTCCCTGTAATTAGACAGGGACTGAGTAGGTGTGGTCTGTCGTCGAGTCCTCCCTCCCCTGGCAACCACCAGACTGTACCATAGCAACGAGCGACCATTAAAAGTGAGTCCCTGTGCTTCTATAAATAGTAACAGATTATTGTTACCATATGGTATGTGAACAGTACCTTGTGTACAGTTTCTTCCAGTTATTCTGTGAGGGCAGATACAGATATAATCATACCACAGTGGGGTACAGGAGCCTTCATTACAGGTAATACCATCACAAGAATTGTATATCTAATGGACAATGATAATAATAATAATAATAATGCTTTCTCTCTCCCTCCCTCCTTCCCTCCCTCCCTCCCTCCCTCTCTCTCTCTCTCTCTCTCTCTCCTCTCATTAGTGTATACTTGAGGGCATCCATTTTGACTGTTCATCTCCTCCACGTGGCCCCCCAGGTCAATCTTTACTCCGTCCATCAGTAGGTTCCTAATACAGGCGTTGATCCCTCCAGCTGGTAGTAGTGGAGCTGATACTGGGACTCCTCCTAACCACAGGGGTAACCCTAACTCTAGGGAACTGGAGGGAGAGGGAGAGAATAATGGAATATAATGATGAAGTTTACTATTGCATGTACATGTAAGTGCAACAATTATTATTATTATTGTTTATTGTTCATTTACTTCATTACCTGTAGTTGGTGTTAGCAGTGATGCTAGCAGTACAGTCGAGTGATGAGTGAGTGTTCATTAGTTGAATACAATAGTCCAGTGTAGCTACTAGTGACTGGAGATACAATAATGAATAATAATAATGGGATAAAGAAATAATAAATAAAGAGGTACGTTATAAAAATTAATTATTAACTACATGTAATATGAAATGCAAATACATATGTGCATGTACATTACTGATAGATTACTAAAATACATGTATACTGATAAATTACTAGAATATACTGGTAGATTACTAGAATATACTGGTAGATTACTAGAATATACTGATAGATTACTAGAGTATACTTACGTTTCCTCTTATATTAATGAGTAGTGTGTGCCAGTGTCCATCAGCCACACTCACTGAAGTTGATAATATACTGACATTATTAATATTATCAGCACCTCCTAATGAATATTTAATTAATAGGATCCTGCCACTGATCTCCACTGATATGAAATCAGCACTGATCCCTCCCTGATGCTGTGTGTTGAACAGTAACACTCCATTACTTGACTGAGTTGAGAAATCAAACTGGATATCACCGCTTGACCTGAAATCAATGGATCCATAAGCTCTATAACTAGGAGTAGACTGATCTCCATTAAAACTAACAGTATTCAGTCTACAATGATCATCTCTCATCTCTTCATCTCTACATGTACACCTAAACCCACTAGCAGTGTCATTAGTACACTGCCCACTGTTAGTGCATGAATTAACATTACAATCATTAGCCAGAGTACAGTCAGGCCCTGTGTAAGATGGTGGGCATGTACAGGTATATCCGTCATCAGTCTCTATACAGGAGCCTCCATTACTGCAGGAATCAGGTCGACAGTAGTTGATGTTAATTTCACAGTTCTCTCCATCATGACCAGCAGGACACTGTATCTGACACTCCCGGCCAGTGAATCCTGTGGTACAGGTGCATATGTAGCTCCCGAACCCGTTATAACAGACGCCATTATTGGAGCAAGGGTTAGGGGAACACTCGTTAATGTCATCCTGACAGTTTGAGCCAGTGTACCCCACAGGGCAGGTACACTGGAAGGACAGTGGACCGTTATTGGTACACTGGCCGCCATGAAGACAAGGGTTAGAATCACAGGGAGAAGGAGAAGGTAACGTTAATGAACAATCATCACCACCTGAGCCATCAGTACAGACACAAGTATAGTTACCAGACCCTGGACTACAGACTGATGTGGAGTTACAGGGAGAAAGTGTAGTACAGAGATCAGTTGGAACTATGGGATACTGACAGGTATCTCCGTAATACCCGCGGGTACATGTACATGTATAAGAGGAGGTGTTACCAATACAAGTGCCACCATTAAGACAAGGAGATGAATGACAGAGTGATAATAGTTCAGTACAGTACTGTCCACCATAACCAAATGGACAGAGGCAGTTGTAAGCTCCATACAATCCTCTTTCACAAGTACCGCCATTTCTACAGTATTCCAGCTCACAGTTATTAAGAGGGAACCGACAGTTAGGGCCTGTGAATCCAACGGAACATGTACATGTATACCCGTTAGTTGTCTCTGTACAGGTTGATCCATTATAACAAGGATTGTTGGAACAACCTCCCTGGAACTGGGCCGACTGTTCACAGAATCGACCAATGAAATCAGAGCTACAGACACAAGTGAAGGAATCCCTTCCATTACTGCAGGTTCCATTATTGAGACAAGGGGAGGAGTCACAGAATGAAGACGGAATGAAATAAGCATATTCACAACGATCACCATAGTAACCAACAGGACAGATACACTCATGTCTATTAAACCCGTTAGTACAGGTACCCCCATTGATACAAGGGCTACTGGCACACTCATCATTATTGATACTGCAGTCTTTACCAGCTGTACCCTCCGGACAGGTACATGTATAGTCCTGAATACCATCAGTACATGTACCGCCATATTGACACGGGTTGCTATAGCAATCATCGTAATTAACCTCACAGTGGTCGCCGGTCGTACCCAGTAGACAGGTACACTGGTAGGTGACACTGGTCAATGGGTTGAAGAGGATGTACCACTTGGAGGCTAATCTTGAAGTATGGTTAGTGCTAATGGAGAGTATAGTGGTACACTGGCCGAGATTAGCACATGGTTCATTAATACACGCATCCACTGGAAGAGAATATAATAGATTGGAATAAATACTGGACCGCTCCAGGTATAGTTTATTAATGATGTAAGTTGGGTCCATGAAGACGCCATTGCTGCTCATAACAGCAAATAAAAGATCAACAGTATTATCTGGATCATGGTGACCCTGTTGTACTGTTAGTATATTCAATGATGTTGATTGAACTGATACTGTATCACTGATCACGTTAACAATACTTGATCTGAATTGATCCAGATATTGATCCCCTGATACATTCAGAGTGATACTGATCAGTGAGCTCACTGGAGGGACTACACTAACGTTGTGCATTATTATTGAAACTGTTGTCATTACAAAATCATGAACCCCATCATGACCACGTACCTCAACCCCATAAGATACTCCAGCAGGGAAATCAGACACTGTAGAGTAGAGGGAGCAGTTGCTGGAGTGAATGTTGAACAGGTGATTGTCACCTGATACTATACTGCAGGCAGTGAATGTGTCATTATCATCAGAATCAATGAAATAGACTAGTCCTAGCTCTTGGGCAGGGAAGCGGACGTCCTGTGCTCTAATTAGAACCTGTAACTGTCCTCCATTTTGTGATGGGTGATCGTTCACATCCAATACAGTAACAGTGATGGTTGCTGTACTGCTAAGAGGAGAGATAGGATCATTATCAACGGCTTGTACTATAAAGTGATACTGGGCTTTGGTCTCTCTGTCCAGTGACTGTACTACAGTCAACCAGCCATTATTGTAATTGAAGTTATTATTAGTATCATCACTCCATACCAGCTCATACCTATCAATCAGTCCTCCAGGTATTTCATCAGAGTCAGGATCAGTAGCTCCAGTGTACAGCAGTGATACTGGTAGAGTGTTCATATTCTCTGCTATAGAGCCAGTGAAATGATCACTACTGAATAATGGGTGTTCATCATTAACATCAGTTAGTGTGATGTTAATGATGGCTCTGTCTGTTAATGGAGGGTAGCCATGGTCTGTTACTGTTAGTGATAAAGTGTAGTTAGGCCTACTTTCAAAATCAAGGGCTCTAGCTAGTATCAGTGTTACTGAGCCATTTGAGTGAGATATCAGATTGAAATCATGATTTGAATCACCATCACTGATCCCATAACTCAATAAACTGTTAGTACCTTGATCAGTATCAGTAGCAGTGAGGGTTATGAGGTGGGCATTAATTGGAGTATCCTCAGGTAGTACAATGGTAGAATAATGAGTATCAAACAATGGTGAATGGTCGTTATCATCAAGCACATGTATCTCCAGTTCCCCCACATTAGGACTACTCAAAGGTGGACTCCCTCCGTCCATTATACTGAAGTACAGGAGGTACCTTCTCTCGGCCAAGTTCTCATAGTCTAAAGACCCTGCTACCCTTACCTCACCTGTACTAGCTGTGAGGTTAAACTTATTATCATCATTCCCACTGATCAATGTGAAGAATATAGTAGCATTGACTCCATTATCAGGATCAGTGGCTGGTAGTTGTATCACTACATGGCCTAATGCTTCATTCTCATAGACCCTAGCATACATGTATGGGTAGACCCATGAGGGCTGGTTGTCATTATGGTCACTGATCTCTACTATCACTTCTACTGTTGACGAGAGCTGTATTGCACCTCCGTTATCAGTTGCCATGGTTACCAGTTGAAAGAACCTGGTCGTCTCCCGGTCGAAGGTCCTGTTAGCGATAATGACCCCGGTCACTGGGTCTATACTGAACCCATCCTGTTCCCTAGTCACTAGTGAATAGGTCAGTGTCCCATTCTCCTCTTTATCAAGATCAACTGCTCTTACTGTAGTGATGTACAGTCCTTGGGGTCCAGGGGGTGTGTTCTCAGGGGCTGTACCGTAGAATGGGGCGAAGAGGAACTGAGGATAATAGTCATTAATATCATCAATATGAATACTGATATCAGCTGTTGATAGTGACCCTCCATAGGCAAAAACTAGGAACACTATCTCTTCACTTGGTAGGAACTCCTCACGGTCTATCCCTCCACTGATCCTGATCACTCCGTTATTATCAATGGAGAACCGTCCTTCTGCTAAACCTTTCAGCTCGTATTGGATCATGTTAGAATCAAGATCAGTTGCGTTAACAGTTAACACTACAGTACCGATAGGTGAGCTCTCCACTACACTAGCAGTGTACAGTGATTGACTGAATATAGGTGGTTCATCATCAACATTGATCACTAGTACACTGACAGTAGCAGTATCAGTGTAGATACCATCACTGACCTGTACTGAGAGACTGTACTGGGTATACCTCTCATAGTCAAGGCTACGTCTTAGATACAGCTCTCCTTTACCAGCATTATTCCTCAATTGGAAAGTTGCTTCAGTATTACCAGACAAGATGGCGTACACTAGTCTACCCTGATCATTCCTGTCAGGATCATTAGCAGTTAACTCCAAAGCTAAATGAGGTACTAGCTGAGTCTCATTAAGTAATATATTATACACTGACTGAGTAAAGACTGGTCTGTTATCATTAATATCTTCTATTGCAATGAATACGTGAATGATACCTTCTTGATTAGGTACCCCAGGATTAAAGGCACCAATCGTTAACATGTAATTCATGGAGACAGCTTCAGCATCTAGTCCTGTAGCGAGGGAGTATACCGTCCCATTCTGATCAACACTGAAATTAGAGTTTGAAGGCACTGCACTTCTTAGCCCATACTCAATGACTCCATTAATCCCTGTGTCGTTATCTGTTGCCTTGACGATACCCACGGGCCCTGGGGGTTGCCCCTCCACCACATTAAAGGTGATGCTAGGAGGAGTACTGGGGTCACCGTCAGTATCAGGGAAGGTAGGGAAGTTATCATTGACATCAGTCACATGTACAGTGACTGTTGTAGAGCTGAATACATTAGCAGCACTGGCCGTTACCTGTAGCCTGAAGGAGTAGGGTCCAGGGTACAGGCGCTCGTAGTCTATCGGTTTATTGGACTCAATTCTTATCTCACCGCTGGAGGGGAATATCCTGAAGTTTCCTAAGCTGTTGGTGTGATACTCAAGCCCATTGATGAGATGATAGGAGATGAATGAGTTACCAGAAACACTAGCAGTGACATTGATAACTGCTTTAGAGGAGGAGTAGTCCTCAGGTATAGTCACATTGTAACTGCTGGAGGAGAATACAGGTACCTTGCCGTCATGGAGTATGGTTATATTAACAATCACTGAGCTGTGTCTAGGGACCAGTCCCTGATCACTAGCTGTTATATTAAGTACACAGTTAGAGGTGGTCAGTACACTACTGCTGACGGTGATGGTACCAGTGAATTGGTCAATGAGGAATGGGCAGTTACCGGAGCTGGTGTTGTTTAAAGTGTAGAGTATCTCACCGTTAGAACCAAAGTCCATATCCTGTGCCTGTACCTGTATTATGTAAGAGCCGTTAATGGGTGTGTCCCCGATATTAGTGCTGTATTCTGATAGGTCAAATATTGGTTCATTATCGTTCTCGTCCAGTAGGTTGATCGTTAATATGCAGAAGTCTTGTCTGTACCCTCCATCAGTGGCCGTGATACCCACTTGAAACCTTGAGCGAGACTCTCGGTCATAGTTTCGGCTCTCTTGTGTCGTCGTGATGACCCCAGTGGATGGGTTCACCTCAAACAGTTCAAAGTCTCCAATATTTGGTAATATGTCGTAGGTTATTCGGCCATTGGCTCCGAAATCATCGTCCATAGCAACCACTTGCGTCACAAAAGTACCATTAGGCGGATTTTCTGTTAGACTAGCAGTACAGGTTGATTCATCAAAAGTTGGACTGTGTTCATTAGCTGATCCAATACCAATCTCAACCTGAGCCCGACTGATATTAACACAGCTGGCATCAGAGGCAGCAACTATCAGCACATACTGTCCTCTAATGGCCTCCTCATTCCTGGCTATACTGATATTACCTGAGACCGAGTCCAGTTGGAACACTCCTTCATCATTACCCGATATCAGGGAGTAGGACACGCCCCCAATATTATCAGGATCATATGCTTCTATTGTTAGTATGTGGTCCCCAATGACGGGAGGAGACGTGAAGTCATAAGGTACGTCTTTAACATACACTGATCCTGAGAATGAAGGACACTCGTCATCAGTATTGTTGAGTTGTATCACTAGAGCAGCAGTAGAGGACTGAGGTGGGTCTCCGTTATCAGACGCTGTGACTGTGAGGGAGAACTGGACGAGTTCTTCATAGTTTAGTACAGCAGCTGTTGATACCTGACCATCACTTGAAACACTGAACTTATTGCTGTTGGGACCAGAGAGAGAATAAGAGACAGTTCCATTCAGTCCATTATCAGGATCAGTGGCTGAAACTGAACCAACAGGTCGACCAAAAGCTACTCCTTCTTCAATAGTGTAATAATAGTAACTGTTATTGAAAACTGGTCCATTGTCGTTCACATCAGTCACTAGTACCTGTACCTGAGTATCAATAGAACCCACATCATCAATATAACGGACTGTCAGTAGATACTGTGGATGCGTTTCCCTGTCTAAAGGATTAGTGACGGTGATGATACCAGTAGTAGAAGATATACTGAACACTCCTCCCATATTACCACTGACTATAGTGTATACAATATTGTTAGTAGTGGAGAGAGAGAATGCTTGAGTGGTTAAGAGAGAGAAAGGAGAGAGACCATTTTCTGTTATACTTGTAACATAGCTTGTCCTCTCAAACCTTGGTGTTGCATCGAACGATGGCAGCACTATGATAGTTAGGTTACTACTGAGACTGTAGCCACTCAAACTAGCCTGTACTGTTATACTGTATTGGTTAGGAGTGGAAGGGTAAGGAGCTGTGTTAGTTATCAGTCCTGTTCCATTGTTAATGGAGAATAGACTAGGATTAGCTGAATCTGACTCCACTATAGAGTAAGACAGTGTCCCGTTGGTTCCTGCAGCATATACTTGATAAGCTCGTCTACCAGGACTGGCCCCGCTTGGTACATAAGCAGTGAAAGGCTGAGGAGAGAGAAAGCGAAGAGATTGAGCCTGCACTGTAGAGCAGTACCCCGCCATTAAGAGCAGGATCAGGCATAGCTCGTGCAGCATATTGACCTGTTGATAAAATGCGTGGGAGATAAAGTTACAAGATAGCTTGATGTTAAAAACTAACTTTTTCTTGCTTGCTAGTCTTTCTATAACTTGCAAAATCTTTAAATGCACAATATATGAGGTCTATTCTTTTCTAAAAGGCTAAGATAAAGCCAGCATCACTGAGTGCAGTGTCTGCAGTAGAGAATAACAACCAGAGGGACACGCCTACTGCTGCTAGTGAGAGGTGGAGGAAGAGAGGGAAGCATGTATTCACGAGTGGGGAGTACCAGTGTGTGTTTATTGACTAATGGAGGGAGACACAACATCCTAACCAGGAGACTACGGGAGGCCAGTAGAGACTGGAGTAAGAGGAATAAATATACCAACAATAAGGTAAAATGATAATAATAGATGATTGTTTTTATGTTTACACCTTTTGTTGTTTGTTTGTTGGTGTATGTACATTCGGTACAGTGTAGCTGAAAGAGGGTGGGGCTGAAATAGAGAAAATGGGAGGGGCTGGCGTTACGTTAAATATAAATAAAATAATTATTCTTTTTAAAATTAATAGTCCAGATTTATTGATTGGAAGAGGCTCAAAGTGACAGGTGGTAGTGGAGGGACCGGCTGTATCTGTTTCAGAAAGTACGTACGTTGCAACAAGCTCCACCCACTAATTAATAATGGTGTGCATTAAATAGAGAGGCTCATGTAGAATTCGGAGGTCCCAGTGGAGGTAATGGAGGAGATGGTGGGAGTGTAGGGTTCATGGCTAGCAGTAGAGTGAAGACACTGAGGGACGTTAGACATCATTATAAAGGAGAGAGAGGAGGGGACGGGAAGAACTGGGACTGCCATGGGAAGAATGGAGCCGATAAAATAATAAAAGTAATTTTAATATTAATTAGCTATTAATGAGCAATGGGCTATAGATTATGTACGTATACTTGTCCTTATGCTGTGTAGAAAATTTGAGCTGATTCCGACTTCAATTTTTCAAGTTATGGTCATTTTAAGAAAACGCCCAAAATTTGAAATATACCCAAGGCTATATAGCCCATGGTTTTTTCCAAAAAATGGCTCCGAAATCAACCCAAATTTTTATTGCATTTCCTGATACATATTGATGTACATATGCTGTGTAGAAAGTTTGAGGTGATTCCGACTTCAATTTTTCAAGTTACGGCCATTTCAAGAAAATGCCAAAAATTCGAAAATACCCAAGGCTATAGCCCATGGTTTTTTCCAAAAAATGGCTCCGAAATCACCCCAAATTTTTATTATATTTTCTGATACATATTGATGCCCTTATGTTGTGTAGAAAGTTTGAGGTGATTCTGACTTCAATTTTTCAAGTTACAGCCATTTTAAGAAAATGCTAAAAATCTTAAAAATACCCAAGGCTATAGCCCATGGTTTTTTCCAAAAAAATGGCGCCGAAATCATCCCAAATTTTTATTACATTTTCTGATACATATTGATGCCCTTATGCTGTGTAGAAAGTTTGAGGTGATTCTGACTTCAATTTTTCAATTTACGGCCATTTTAAGAAAATGCCAAAAATCCGAAATTACCCAAGGCTATAGCCCATGGTTTTTTCCAAAAAATGGCTCCGAAATCACCACAAATTTTTATTACTAAAATTACATTTCCTGATACATATTCATGTAGTTATACTAATTTTCTTGTTATCATTAGGTTCCTGTTGGTACTGTTATCAGTTCCAATGGTGAAGTCCTTTATGATCTAATGTCTGATGGTGATACCTATACAGCTGCTAGAGGAGGAGTGGGCGGGGCTGGTAACACCTCTTATGCCACGCCTACTAATACAGTCCCATACCAGTACACTGAAGGTACTGATGGAGATGAACTGATCATTGAACTGGAATTAAAGACAATAGCTGACATTGGACTGGTATGTATTCTTTTAATTGTAGCTTTACTAAAGTAATAATGTGTCAATTTAATTTAGCATTTCAAAGATCCTTTACTAAATTTACTGAACACAATATTTACCAATTTATTTATTTATTTATTACTCATCAGGTAGGGTTTCCTAATGCTGGTAAATCAACACTCCTTCGTGTGCTGTCTCGAGCTAAACCCAAAGTTGCTGACTATGCATTCACAACCCTCAACCCTCACATTGGGATAATGGACTGGAACCAGTATGAGGAACAGATAGCCAGTTAGTGGTGTGACATGTACATGTATAGCCTATGTTTTATTGTGTGTGTGTGTTAATATGGCAATGGATCTTCAAACTATCATTAGTCAGAACCAAGCATTATAAGAACACTGAATAGTACAATGGGTTCATATTAATTTCTCTTAATTTTATGTTTTTAGTTGCTGATATTCCTGGGTTGTTACCAGGTGCTCATCGTAACTACGGACTAGGCCACGCCTTCCTCCGACACATTGAGAGGTGCAGTATACTAGTCATTGTACTCAATATAAGAGAGAGAGAACCAGGAGAGACTGACAACCATTTACAATCACAAAACAATGAAGAAGAAGGAAGACTTGAAGGAGCTTGTACTAATGTAGAAAGAAGTGAGTTAGAAACTGCAACAACTACTGAACCAGTTAATAGCAGTCATAACTCACCCTCACTGTATGGTAAAGGGAAGCTGAATGCTAATGAAGTATTACCATTGACAGCTCAGTATCAGATACTGCAGGATGAACTAGAGCTGTATAAAGAAGGACTAGTGGATAAAGTGAAGCTGGTAGTTATCAATAAGGTTGACCTGGAGGGAGGGGAGGAGAGTGTACTGGAGTTTATTAATGATAGTCCAGGACTGGGTCTACCTCTGGTACCAGTATCAGGAATGAAGGAATGGAATATACAGGAACTGAAGGAAGCATTATATACACTGTACAATAATAATTATTATGATAATAGTCAATCTTTAGCTAATGATGCATAAGGTATACTAATTATGTGATTTATAAATTATTATTTGAAGCAAACTTCATGCTCAAATTGAGCTGATTCTTTGCAAGTTGTAGTTTACATTAAGTAGCCCCAATCCACCCTCATCAGTAATAAGATATTTTAATGATATTCAGTGTTATTGGTTTGTTCCAGTAACTATTTTCATGAGGTCCTATATACCACACACATACACTGATACACCCATCCTTTATACACTGGTTCATGTAGTACATCTCTACTGCTCCATTTCAGTTTACAGGGAAAGCTTGTTCCTTTGATTAACTAGTGAAGGTTACTCTTACTTTGCAGTACTAGAAAGGATCTTCTCTTCAATTCCTTTTATAAAGTCCTTCTTTCTTTATTGTGGTGTAAGTGATCTCTGAAATAGCTACACCTTAAGTTACCTAATTCTCTCTCATTGTCCTCCATACTATAGTACAAGATGATTGATGTCTCTCAATGGAGAGCAAGTATTGGACTGTGGAACTACTGTCAAGCTGCCTCCAGTAGACCAGCTAATGGCCACCACTCTCACTCATTCAAAGCTGCAGTAGACAGCAAGTCAGGCAGTACTACATCAGGAGAGAAGACATCTAAACTGCCAGCAGCTCTGTCTCTTATTGTTTCTCTTCTTTTATCTTTATTAAGATATATGAAGCTCAATTTCATTCCTCCAACTGGTAAACAAACTAACAGTATATAATATTATCATACAGTGTATTTACAATAGGTATAATTACTGTTACTGTTATGATCCACTGCCTCCAGTCATTAGTCTTGTTTATAGCTACTATTGGGAGTAGCTCTGACCTGATCTACTATTTGGTTTCACTTCTCCTCCTCCTCTTATCAGGAGATGTTGAACTCAATCCTGGTCCTATAACAGGTAAACATACACTTAATACAACACTCATTAACTGATACACTACTGCAGATAATCCAAAGGATATATTAAGGACTCATTCTGTTAAACTCACTGATGCTATTACTACTAACCTTTACAGAGTAACTGATGCACTGTATGCTGAAGGACTGATACCACTGGATACTAAAGAGAATATACAAACAGTAACAGGAATATCTGATTATAGGAAATCAAGTCAATTAGTGTCTGTGATACAACGACAGTTGGAATCCTCTCTTAATCCAGAGCAGTATCTTATTGATATATGTCATGTATTAATAAACCAACAACATCGTACACTAACAGATATTGCTACCTCTATATTACACCAGTTAGGTGAGTGTGTGTGTGTACATTATCAGTGATCAATATAGTCATTATATCTCAATACATTAGGTCAGTCTATACCTGATAATGTCAGTTCACATACTGTACTACCATCAACAGTTGATGATATATCCAATACACCAGTTACTAATATAAGAGGTAATAAATTATTTAATGTGTATACATTGTTTTTATGTATCTTGATCAATAGGTCAGTCTGATGTAGCTAAACCCATTAGTTCAATACCTGATGATGTTCAAGGATATGCTGACAATATGAGACAACACTACAAACACCAACCTATTGTTGCTACAGACTGGCCACCAAGAATTGGAAAAGATTTCTTTGGAAGACTAGCACTAGTAGAAAAACAAGACTCCAGCACACAAGCAGAATCAGCTTGGCATATGCTAAGAGGACAAGTTGATAAAACAGTTAAACTAACTGAAAACAAAGAGATAAGTGTTGAAGATGTCCTCCAACCCACAGATAGTTCTCTGTCTCTCAGAGTAGTAATAGACGGTCCTCCTGGTATTGGCAAGACCACACTCTGTCGTAAACTGTTAAATATGTGGTCTAATGGACCACTTGTACACCAACAGTATGACTTGGTACTTTACTGTCCTTTAAGGAATAGCAAGATAGCTACAGCTACTACACTAGCTGACCTGTTTGAGTACAGATGTTATGAAGTTCCCATGGTAGCTGAATGGTTTGAGAAGAGGAATGGAGAAGGATTACTGATAATCTTTGATGGTTGGGATGAACTAAGTGAACAACTCGGACAGTCTTCATTAGCTACTAGTATCATTCATAGAAAGCAGTTAAACAAAAGTTCAGTAATTGTTACCTCTCGTAGCTATGCCTCCTCTTCACTTTTGAAAATGGATACTCTCAGTAGACATGTTCAGGTCATTGGGTTTTCTGAGCAAAAAATATCAACAGTAATTATACAAACACTTCAAAAAGATACAAAACTTGCACAAGAACTCATTGATAAGAAAAGACAAGATGATAAAAATTTTGAACTTTTCACAACTACTCAAAGCAGTAAGGACTCACAACTAGCAGTGAAACTCATTAATGATCTTAAAGTACGACATGATGTCCAATCATTGTGTTATGTACCACTAGTCTGTTCTATGGTCATCTTAGTTTATTGTAAGGAAGGAGGACACTTACCAACAACACTCACTCAACTCTATGAGAACTTTATCCTACAAACTATCAGAAGACATGTTAAAAGACATGACATTAACCCACATACTTTAGGTAGTCTTTCTTCATTACCATCACAATTAGCTAAACTTTTACAAGAGATGTGTCAATTAGCTTATACTAACCTGGCTAATACAACAATGACATTCTCTTCACATCAACTACAGTCACTGAGTGAGGCAGTCAAGGAAGACTATCTTGGATTGATGACAACATTCACAGATTATGATGAGGAGAAGTATCAGTTCCTTCACTTGAGTATACAGGAATTTCTAGCTGCATGGTGGATAGCTAAGCATGAGAAGAAGAGAGAGGAAGTGTTTAAGGATCACTTTGAAGATGATCACTTTCGAATGTGTCTGAGGTTTGTGGCAGGTCTAACTCACCTTGAACATGAGAGCTATCAACAGTATTTTAATAAACAACAACTTGACTTACAGTGTAAGAGGAAACCATTGTTTGGAATTGAGACTTGTCATCTCTCCTACTTCTATCAGAATCCTGAGATTAGAATTAGTGCTCATCATATCAGATCTGATGATTTTGACAATGTTCCCATTCTCCTTCTTCAACTCCTGTATGAGTCACAGAACACAACATTATGTCAAGTATTAGCACAATCCATCAACAACCACTCACTGTGTCTGAGGAGAGTATCATTATCATTGTTTGACTGGTTGTGTCTCAGTTATTGTATAAACAATTCCAACACAACATGGAATCACTTGCACCTGTGGCATGTATCTAAGCAGTCACTATCAGTCTTCACTGCTGGACTAACCAATAACTCACTACAGACCCAGTGTAAGAGACGGGAGGTATGGTTGTATAAACCCACTGATGAATTAATACACAAATTATTACAGCCATCACTTTTATACAATATTCAGGAGTGCTACTGTGTATTATCATCAGGTCAATATGTTCCCTGTCTTGTATTGCTACAGTTCCTCAATCTTCCTCAATTAAAGATACTGCGCTTAACAATGGTCGATATTACTATACCAACAGTTGACAATACATGCTACACAGACAAGTGCACTGAACTTGAGAAATGTATAGAAATGAATTCAACACTACAAGAAATGAAGATTGTATATAATAGAGGGAAGGAAATAACAAGGACCATTATCAGTGTCATTAGAGGAGTAACAAGAAATAAAACAATAACATCATTAAAAATACATCTAGATGTTTTTTGTCCTCCTCTACCTGATGGAGTAATAGAGCAGTTACTAACAGACAACAACACATTACAAGCTCTTTCACTGGATGTATTCATGCCATCATCACTGAATATAGTAAAAATTAACACACCACTGACTGCTCTATGGATAGGACGGAGTCTGGTGACATCATCACTCCTTCCACATATCAAAGGATTACACTGTCTGATACTACATTATGATCCATACCCACCACATCTTCTATTTCTCTCTCATCCCAGTCTACATACACTTACTTTACCACTAGACACAGCTGAGAGTGCTATTGAACTA